CTGGGCAGGGGAAGAGCAGCACATTTGCATGCAGGGCCCCCCTCTCTCCTCTGGGGCTGGAGGGAGGATAAGAGAGGACAGCAGTGTGTCTGCCTCAGCAGAGCTCTAGGGTGTCTGCACCATGGCCTGGACCCCACTCCTCCTCCTCACCCTCCTCCTTCACTGCACAGGTCAGGACGGTCCTCATCATCCTTACCCTCCAGCCCACTTCCCACACCCATGCCAGGACCATCCTTCCCTCCTGTCCTTCCTCCAGGCCATAATGGGTTTCTGTGTTTCTAGGGTCCCTCTCACAGCTTGCACTGACTCAGCCGCCCTCTGCATCTGCCTCCCCGGGAGCCTCGGTCAAGCTCTCCTGCACCTTGGATAGTGGGCACAGCAGCTATGCCGTTGCATGGCACCAGCAGCAGCCAGGGAAGGCCCCTCGGTACTTGATGTGGCTTTACAGTGATGGAAGCTCCAACAAGGGGACTGGGATCCCTGACCGCTTCTCGGGCTCCAGCTCTGGGGCTGACCGCTACTTAACCATCTCCAACGTCCAGGCTGAGGATGAGGCTGATTATTACTGTGGAAGTGGTGACAGCAGTGGTTTACACAGTGACACAGGCAGATGAGGAAGTGGGACAAAACCCTCAGCCTGATCAGGGTCTTGTTCTATGTTAGTTTTTAAATTGTTAAATGTGTTCCATGTATTCAAACTGTACTTGAAAGCACCTCTGGTTTAAAATATTTTTTCTCTCAATTTTACATTCACTGTTCCTGAAGTCTGAGGAAAACTAAAACAGAAACAAAAACAAATCTGGAGACTGTGTCTCTGGAACTGGCCTGAAAAGGTTGAAAATGACCCTCCTCTGGTTTACTTCTTGGTCAGTGCCCAGGGACCATCCCAGCTGTGGACAGTCCTACAGCATGGACAGCAGTTGTCATGGGAGACACCACCCCTTCTCTCCCGGTCACCTGAGCTCAGGGCCACCTCAGGCTCCCTACAAGTCATGGCCTGGGCAGTGGAGTGTGAATTACTGACCAAGGACATGGATCAGGGGGGAATTCCAGGCACAGAGCTGGCCTGGCTCACTCATGGGTTCCTGCATCTTTAGCTGTCACCTCAGGATAGAGGGTGGGTGTGGGGACCTCTGATGGGGGAGGCAGCAACCTCCCTGTGGGAGATGAGAGGGGAAGGGCAGGTTCCACCTCAGCTGGGAAATGCTGAGCCTGCTCCGGGGGAGTTAGGGGATGTAGGTCCCCTGAATGTGACTTTCCTACAGCTGATCCCATTCAGGAACATGGGGACCC